AAATATATATTATATACTAGCTAAAGTGTCTGTACAATATAATATTTCAAAACAAATTTTATTTTTCTTAAATAAACGTTATAGAATATTTGGGTTTTTTTTCTGATTTCTTTATTTGTATATTTTCTGACCTTTTTAAAGGTCAACAATATTATATACTAGATAAAGTGTCTGTACAATAAACTATATCTGCCTAAAGGTCGGTCTGGTACTTTAGTGACTTGTAAGTGATTTAAGAAAACTGTTTACTTAATATTGTTAAGCGATCAAACCTGAATTTATGAAACCACTTTTACAAAATTTGGTTTTACCTTATCATTCTTTTAGTTTTCGGCTCTGCAGTTCTCTTATTCAACATTGGATCTTATTAAGATAAGTACATAGTACATGTACTATCAGTACTAGGTCATTTATTATGGTTTTTTACTAAAATGTTTTTTTTTACATTTTCAGTTACAGAAAAATAGTCTTTAAGCTTTTCTCTAAATTGACAGAATTGCATGATATCATACAGTGAAACCCTGAATAACGAATACATCGGAAGAATTTATCAAATGTCGTCTTGACAATTTTTCAATGAGTTTTATACTATATTTCGTAAATTTCAGTATTTGCGAAAATAAATAAATAGCCATGAATATGCGGAAACAGTTTTAAAGAGTTCCATATAATCATTTAATTAAAAAACTAAATATCTGCAACATTCCATTATCAGAAAGTGAAGAATACGACATTTGATCAATTCTTTCGATGTATTCGTTATTAAGGGTTTCACTGTATATGTTCCCTATAATTATCTTGGTCCTTTTCAAATCTTGCATTGGCTTACAAAACAAGTTTGAGACAAACTCCCCTTCAAGGAGTCTTTAATATATTCCATGCTCCTAGGTAAGACCGCACTCTCCTTAGTTAATACTTATTGGGATTGCTCATTGACTTCTTCCCCCCCCCCCCCCCGTCATTTATTATGTAAGCTATTGTTGTCATAGTGCAATTAATAACAAACACATGTGCGACTGCGTACAACAAAATCGTTTACAAGTATGATATTTATAAGATGCAGTGTGTTTAAATGTCTCAGAGACTGTATAAGTAACTTTAAATTACCCTTTAAACATAGGCGCCACGATCCAGCGACAAGTGATCCAGGCGAAACTTGATACACTTGTCATTTGATCCAATCGACATTGGATCCATTAATAAAAGATTGATTTGAACATGATATTCCCGCAAATATTTATTTAAAAACATAAAAAGACCACATTTTCTGATTCAAATTCGCAAAATTACATTTCCTTAACTCGCATATGCAGAGTGAAGGTCTGTTTGGAGAAAAAGAGAGAAAATTTCAAACTAGGTTCAATCAATTGTCAATAAAACATTTTCAAAAATAACCCTGGATCAAATGACGACTGGATCAATGGTGCATGGATCAAAAGTCGTGATAATTCTGTAATGAATATCTTCCTTCTTATTATACCTCAGACAAAGGTTTTAAAGGTATTGTTGTGAACAACCATGCCAAACCTCGGGTCACTTGAAATTACGTCTACTGACTCTTTAAAGTTTCCATTAAACATGTACTTAATACTTCTTTTGAAAAATATTTTTTTAAACCTTGAAAACTTCTTTTCAGAAAGAAGGGGAAGGGGGGGGGCTGTAACAAAAGTTGTCTATTCTATAAATTTAAGGAAACTGAAAGGATTATTTTTTGTTGTCTTTAATATTTTACTTCTACATAAAGCATAAATAAGCTTAGTTCATGTTTGTTTATGTTCCTCCCCGGAGCTTCAGTAAACTTGGTTCATGTTTGTTTATATTCCTCCCCGGAGCTGCAGTAAACTTATTTCATGTGTGTTTATGTTCCTCCCAGGAGCTGCAGTATTATAAACTTGGGTTATACGGAAGATATCGATTTAAATCTGAAAAAGTGCTGCATTCTGTTGATTTCCCTCATTGTTTCTGCAGCATAAATAAAAAAGTCGCTGTAACAGAGAAACACATTCGAAAAAAAATAAAAAAATTTCTTCAGAGAAAGAGTTAAAGGGTCCACCACCGCAACAATCTAGAAATGCCGCTTTTTAGATAAGAGTCACTTAAAATTATGCCTATAGTCCCTTTAACGATTCAGTCAATTATCCAATTATATGGACTGTGTTTAATTAAGCTAGAATTTAAAGAAAACCTTTCGTGCACGCATTTAGGCAGATTCTTCTCATTGTGGAGAATCTAAAAATAAATAGGTAAGTCAAAAAAAAGTGTGATTAGCGTCGTCGTCTTCATAACTATTTTTTAAATAAAATTTTCATTTTTTTTCCACTCAAAATTAAAGGTGAAGAATAGTAAAAGTTGCTATCCAATTCTAAAAATTTCATTAAGATCAGTTAGACCAGAGAGATATATTCCAAAGAATGCTTAGATCTATTTATTGATAGCCTTGCTTGGACAGGTACACTAGAGAACAAAATAGCGAATTTTCCTGATGCGATTTTGCGAATTTTCTCCATTTCCATGAGTTTGATCAAAAAATTCAAAAAAATGATCCAAAATATTTTAAAAATTCCGTACATAATAATTTCATGAAATTTTTTTGGTAAAGACTATGCTGATCGCACTATTTTTTTTAACTCGCCCTGTATATATATACAGGGCGAGTCAAAAAAAAGTGTGATTAGCGGCGCCTCGTGCAAAATTGTACCTTTGTTTGTGCAACTCACCTGTATGGTGTTTTTTCAATATTGAGAATTTTTAACTTTTTGGCATTCCATTGACCCAAAAAAATAATCAAAAGTTCAGAAAAACAAACTAAATGTGTGTATAAATTATTTCAATCGAAAACTAAAATTTTATATAGAATGAATCACAGAATTGTAATAACAAAATTTGCAATTTTCAGTTGCCTAGCATAATTTTTAAGGAAAAGTTGTTTTTCAATGGCTCCTCAGGTTTCAATTGAACAGCGTATATTTTAAAAACAAAGTTGGCCGAATTTGATCAGCTCCAATAATCAATCAAATTTTTGTTGTTTAAGTGAAAGAATTATATAAAGTAATTAATTTAAAAAGCAAGGTACAATTAAAGAATCTGAAGATTATAAAATATGAATCAAAATAAATTTCGAATATAAAATTAAACTGCAGTATCTAATCGTTAATTGTAAATGTCATCATTTTTAATTTTTTTTTGTTTTTTAACTTTCTATTTCTAAATAACACTATTTTATCGCATTAAAAATTGTGTATTGCCTGTGTAAAAAGCTGAATTGAACGCGGCATGACAAATGAAAAGTTGTGCACATACGGGAAAAAAATATACAAAATCTACGAACCAAAATACGAGTAATGATGAATTGATTGTCGTAGAGACGTCGTCTTTGTAAACACATTTTACATGTTTTAATACGGAAAACGTAAATTTCTTGCTAACTCAAATATCAAAAGTTTTCAGATTTTAGTACATAATAACGAACACATAATGACATTAAAATATAATAAATTTAAATGTTATTGGGCTGCTGTTAAATAGTGTCTATAGAGAGGGACCGTCCCTTTCCGTTTAAATTCTGAACGAAAAAATCGGCTTTTTCTCCGGCCACAGTTGTCTTTGAAAAGTAAGACTATTACCAATCAAGAGCGAATAGGCTGTTTACTTTACCCTAAAATTACCCAAATAAGTGAACGGTCCCTTTAAAAATGTTCATAATTACAGTAATGAAAATATGATTAAATGAAATATCAAGTTTTAAAAATGTTGGAAACCATAATTCAGACTTTGCTTCGTTAAAAACAGAATTTGGATTCTTGAACTAAAAATAAAAATAAAAACATTTCCGAGTAAAATCAGTGAACACGGCTTTCTTTTACAATATTTGACAATTTGACCCTAAGCGACCTAGCCCTTACTTTTTTAAAGGTGTATATTTCTCCTGCATGATGTTATCATGTGCCTAAAGGTATATTCGTGACTTAGACTCCTCGAATTCTCCGACTAATAATATATGCTAGGAGCTGGGATAATATCAATAAACCTGAATCCTCATGGTTTCACCTCAACCCCGAGAACAAGGAGGGGGGGGGGGGTCGTCTGTGTAATTTTTAAATCTCGGAGAAAGAAGCTTGTTCAGCTTAAAAATACGAGCATTTAGAGCATGCAATTGAGATGACTGCATAGATAGATAAATATATCATTTTATTCCCTTCTTGTATTCACGTTTTACGTCGGCGCATTTTGCTTTCTCTGGGGATATCTATCTATCTATCATAACCTTTGCTTTCTAACCTACTATCTATCTACCAATCTATCCATTAGTCCAGAGCTTTCTATCTCATTCACTATCTTCTTAAATCCATGATCCAGTAGTGAAAGAGCTTCCCAAGGAGGTTGAAGACAGAAATCTTTCAGTTTTTTGTAGCATTTTTAAAGTTTGAGTTACTTACAAGATCATACAATAATAGGCGGTTGTTATCTTGAAATCCACGAATTGTCCGAATTAACTAAATCTTGTATCGCAAGGAGATATTGAAATACCGGTGAATCGCAGGGACATGGTTGGTTGGAGAAATGGGATAAACTTTCTTATTGGTTAATTTTTTTCTTAGAAAAGTTGTAACCTTGGAACCTGAAGCTCTAATACTTCATCTATAAAACAAGCTTAAAACTTTAGAAAATAGCCATTGTTTCAATTGTTTGTTTGTACTCTGAGCGTGAAAACCTAAACCATAAAATAAAAATTATCCATGTAAAACTTCGATGCTTCGATGCTATCAAACGATGTAATTTTAAGTGAGAGGCATTTAGAGAGAGGTATACCCGATGAACAACGGTACCCTTGAAACCTTGAAACATTGATAATTTCCAATTTTGACTTTCGGTTTATGCAGTTTAGAGACAATTCAATCTAACATTTAAAAATTTAAATTTAAAGTTTTTATTTAGAAAACATTTAGGAGGCCATTGAGAATTTTCGTTTTTTTAATTCAACTAATAATTAACGAACAGTTCGAAACTACTTTCCACGTGCCCAAGTTCAAACCGTAGCCACGGAAACTATACGTTAGAAATCTATCGTTCGAAACTTCCTACTCTTCTGTACAGGTAGGTCTAACATCTTGAGAAAGATCTGAAATGAACTCTGGGCTTTTAAATGTATACATATAGCAGTCTTTAAAAACATACATTTTATTTTATGTTACTTTATATTATAAGTTTGAGCTCTTTTTTTTTCTTCCCAATATTCTCTTAGAATGTCCTTTCTTCTCTTCCTTTCCTTTCGTCTCCCTCTCTCTCTATGTCCTTTCTTTTACACTCTCCTTTCATGCATTTCCTCCCCCCCCCCTCGGTTATCCTTATTTATCATACTCTTTATCTCACCTATATTATACGCACTCGATCCTTATACAATATCCCACATTGATCATTATCCCTTTTTGCGTTAAGCTTAATAATCAAATTTTGTCAATGAAGAAAACATTCCAAAATTTTTCGTTGGCGCATCGCGCAGAATTGCTGATAGAATTTTTAACTAGTTTCTCGTTTTCGACTTAAGGAAAGTCAAGTCATTCTTGATTAATGCTCTCTATAAACCTGTGCATATGTTACAATGACAAGAAATATAATAAGGATTATATCAAACTATTAGAAGTTTTGCAGACTATAAGAGGAAAACAGGGTAAGCCCATTATTGTCAAACTTCGATCAGAAAGACTTTTATGGCTTATAGACAGACGAAATATTTAGTCAAGTACTGCCAGGAACTACTTAATACTTACTGCACAGACCTACGATTAAGGGCCTATACAATGTACATAGTATAGTATACAATGTACATAGTATAGTATACAATGTACATAGTATAGTATACAATGTACATAGTATAGTATACAATGTACATAGTATAGTATACAATGTACATAGTATAGTATACAATGTACATAGTATAGTATAGTGTAAAGTGGATAAATATGATGACTAGTACGTAGTGGATGAATTACACAAAAATTGCTGTAGACTGTAATAAGGGACTTAATAAACATCGTGAATATGAATAAAGCCAGTGACTAACAGACACTAAGAAATACATGAAAAGAACCAAATTTTTTTTGCCGCTTCGCGCACATGTTTAATTTACTAGTGTCTTTCATTTTAAAGCTGTTGGAAGAAAATTTTTTCAAACACAAGAACAAACCATGGATATTATAAGAATTTGTTATATTAATTATTAAGCACAGAGCCAACCCTTCAACAATTAGAAAATGCTGTTTTTATACATCAAAGTCTGAAATTGTAGCGGTTTTTTTTAAAAAATGTTTCCCCTACCCAGCCCCTCAAAATTTTATTTCGCCCCCCTCCCTCACAAAATTGCTAGTTGCGCCGCTGACAGGAACAGAAACCTAGTAACATTTTGGTTGGTTGGTAGTAGCTCGTGAACTTGTGGAGGTGGGTTATGCCGTATGGTTCACATTTCTTAACATTATTCTTTTTCTTCATTTTTCCAAAAAATGAAGATAAAATATTACTAAATGATAATACTTAATCCTAAATTCGATTATTTTTATAATTTTTATTTCCAACAGGGCCTCACCCAAATGCTAAAAAATAATTTGAAAATTTAATATTTTCCGAGATTGGGAATTAGAAAAGAAAATTAGAAAAATATTTGCAAAAATATTTGCATTTCTCTCTCGCGGGTGCTGAGAAAACAAGGCCCATAAAATGCATGCAAAAAAGTCAAGTTTGAAATAAAAATATGAGTTCCTGAGAAAAATAATTACAAATGCATAATATTATTACACAACAAATACAGTTTTTCGCAAATATCATTCATCTTTAAAAAAATACTTTTTGCATTAACATTTTAATTCTTAAATACTGATTCATATTTTTAAATAGAATAAATACAATCAAAAACTGTCATTTTGTCAGTGAAAAAACTAAAATTTTACAATTAATTCTAAGATATTTGAAATTTTAGTATGTTTCCCTACCATATTCATATTCGTGAGTATTCTCTTTAATTGTTTAAAGAATTCTAGTGAATTTCAAAGAAACGATGGATTCCAGGAATAATTCTGAGAGCTCTTTAAAGTACTTGAATCCAGTTTAAACTGGAACAAACCTTTTTAGAGCCTCGAAAAGTACAGATTTATAGTTATTCAGAAAATATATCTTCATCGTTTTTGCTTATGCAAAAATTTCGACCGTTCCACTAAACTCCGGCCCAGGTCGGCGCGCTTCGGTCTTACTCACTTCCGCGCTTTATGAAACTTCTTTAGCTGTGCAGTGGGGGTAAGAAGGTAAAATGAGTAAGACGTGAGGTGGAAAAACTCTATTCCACCAACTTTTCAAAATATCAAACAAATTACTATTTTTCTCATTTTCATATTTGAGTGAGAAGGAGGAGGGGGGGGGGCATTGTTGCACATTAAACTTTTTATTGACAGAGCTGGGAACTCTTGTATTGTGGATGCAGTGATCAATACTTGATCTCGGTATTTTGTCAATCTGTAGATTAATTTAATCTTTATTCGGTATCCCACATGTAATTGTACCCAGTCAGTGGTTGAAGCTTATCATATATCTCTGGCAATTTTAAATGCTCAAAAAAGGCAGACCACATTTTTGAAATGGCAGGACTAGGGCTATTTGTAAATTTGATTATCGTTTTAACAATCATATTTGCAAAATTAGATATTAAAAAGTTCTCCGCTCTGAAAATTTATATTACGTTACTGTCATAAAGTCTGCAGGTGTTCTTATCCCATCATCTCTGGAACCTGATTTTGTAAACATTTAATATGCACCGTCAGAATGAATGCAAATATCTCTCTTTCAAACAAAAATGTTGCAAATCTATATATACAGAATGTATAATAAAAACACAAACATTTACAAAGATATAGGGATTAGAAAATTTGAGTTTGGGGCAAGAATTCAGTTCTTTTTTCATTTTTCGAGACGCGGGAAACTTGGTTTGAAAGTTACAACCGTGTTTTACTTTTAATACAATTGTTACTAAACATTAAAGAATCCCCTTGTACAACAACCTTTTAACAAAATTAAATAAATGATTTCATACTTCTCTAGCTATGTTCGAATAAAGAATTATAATGAAGAATGCACACACACTCTTAAATGTAGGTTTAACATTAGTTAAAATCGTTTAATCAGAGGCCGAATTTAAAGAATTTGAGCCAGGGCTTAAATTTGAGACGCGGCTCAAATATGGTTGGCCCCACCTACAACTGTATTCAATGTTTCAAGATTTAAGCCGGCGCTCAATTGAAACCGGTTTTTGACGGATTTGAGACACGGCTCAAATTCATTAAATTCTGACTCTGAGGTTACAACTTTTGTATTTTAAACTTAGTCGGTTTCCCTGGATGATTTAATTCATGTTGTCTGATTTGTAGTCTATATTTAAAGTCCTAATCATCTGTCGGAGCTATAAATGGTGGATATCCTCTATATCCTAGGGATTAAAATTAAATCCCTTATTAAAAAGTTTACGTAATTCTTTTTTAAAAGGTTTAGTCTCAGGTTGACTAGACATAATTTTAGATATTTTTTAGCAGGCTTATGGGTATTTTTTGTTTTTATTATTATTATTTTTTTTTTGGCAGAGAGAAAGAAAAACATTTCCAATAGATTCAGAGATTGAAAACAACACTGAATCTAAAAATCTTTTTTTCTTGTTGTTTAAAGGATTTTAACTAACAGTTGAATAACAGTTATGTTTACTGTTTAGTTCTAAACGTAATAAAACCAATCTCAGATTCATTATTAACTCCTATAGCTATTAGCTCCTAAATAAATACGGTTGTTTTTATTGAAGAAAAGGTTTATAGAGAAGTGAGAATACACTATACAAAAGTACATACAGTTTATATATATATTATACTTTGCTTGTCTGTCTATGTCCAATAAACGGCTTAACTGATCAGCTCAACTTATTATGGCGATTTACATGATCCCAGGGAATGGTTAGAATTTTAAATTTGTCTTAAAAAAAATGTCGATTTATTTTTATTTTTGAAAATTTTGTTCTACAATGCGCATGCGCTCTCGGTTCAACTGCCGGTCACTTCTTTTATTTTAAACTTCCAGGCGTTCTTCCTATTAAAAATACAAAACAAAAAAATCCAAAAGATTTAGAAGATTTTCCTTTTTTGGGTAAAATTTAAAAAAAAATCTGAGATATTTTTAAAACCTGGTCGGCCGCCCTAAACCTTTATGGTCGTGTGAGTTCACACAAAAATTTTTTCACTAGTTTTATTCGTAAAGAAATCATTGACATTTAAGTTATATCAATCATCGTGATTTGTCCTGTGATCTCATCCTAAATATGCGAACATTCCCTTTTAGAAAATACTTAAAATAATATATTTTTCTAGTTTGATTCATTGATTGATTGATTGATTGAATCATATTGATTCCTAGAAGTAATATGAATCCTCCGTTTCTTGCGTTAAATGATTGTATAAGAATACAGTGTGTACTGAGTAATATTTGCAACATAATCAATACAAATCCAGAACATTTTTTTTAAGAATTTGATCCATTTGAAAGCATATCAGTAATCTCAAAAATACATTCGTGATAAAAAGTTTTTTTTTTTAATTTCAAAAAGTAAATTTTACAAGGTTGATCTATAAATTCTGTTGGATGTAAAATAAAAGCGGTTTCATAATTATGGCGCTGAGGCATTCAATTAACCTCTGAAACTGTATTTATTATTTTCCACCTCGTAGGTTTTATCCAAAAATTATTTAGAAGTTTCAGTACTTCAATCATTCTTCATTTTCAATCAATTTACTTAAAAATTTTATAAACTGTACATAGAAAAACAGATGAATAGATAGATTCAATACGTCTATAATATATAGATACAATACGTTTTTAATATATAGAATTTTTTATCTTTTCTTCTTAAACACATTTCCTAAGCTCTTCACTTCTGAATGAACAAGTCTTATTCATCTTTCTCTGCGGTCAGATTAACATTTAATCCTTAAATCATATTTACTAGTATGATCTGTCAAAATATAAATGGATTAATGTAAAAAAGAAAATTGTGAAATATTATATCATTGAAATTT